TGTTGGAATTCGGGCTACCTCTTCAAGGTCCTCAGGTTCTGGTCAGAATTTCAGTTAGCAAAATCTATTTCGCTCATCACCAAGAGCTCCTCACAACTCTGTGGAGCAGGGCTTTGACAATCAAGGCTAAAGTATGCAAGTCTACTAAATTTCTCTGTATCAGATGACAGACATTTGTCAACTTCCACAAGTCTACCTATCATTAAGAATGATAAATTACAATCCCAAGGCAGTACAGCTTTAATTCTGATGTACCGGCTTCTTTTCCTAATTTATGTGTAGGTAGACACGGTACACTCTAGAAGAGGATTTGTTTCTGTAGGATACACAATCAGATTACAGATTTAAGATACGTGCTCAGGAGCATGATTCTGCTCTGGGAAAATAAATAAGTTTTGCTCCTCCATGAGAAGCCCCATATTTTGGGAGTTCTACTTGTTTCAAGTAGAAACTTTCAAGTTTTTACTCTGTGTTTTTGAAATAACTGCAGCTTGCAATATCTTTGTAACTGAAACGTGAGGATATCAAAGCAATCTTTCTATTACGATCAGTTCTACATACGACCATGGAATTCAGGAAATAAAGTTAAAAAGATATGATTTTAAAAATATATCAAACAGAATGCTTCCTGGATCTGTAGTGCATTGCATAAAGTTATAGCCACGCAATACCCATGTCAAGCCCAGTTATGAAGCTAAAACACCGTAATGCTCTTTGGTAGCATGCTCCATGTACAGGTGGCATCCTTGAGGTGTGGAAATCTGTGCTCAGAATCCTCTGGCCAGGACATTTCCTTTTGTACTTGCAAATTTTCGACTCTTCCTCGGACACAGTTGCTATGCAACTCCAAGAATTTGTAAAATTTATCTTTTTAAAATAGGTTTTAGAAAAAAAAACGTGGCATTTTTTTGAGGAAGAGGGGCATTATTTCAGTTTGCTTTCCTCAGGAAATATCTTTCCACTTCAAACTGGTACCTTTTTTTCTCTTCTGAATTGCAAAAGGTAGGAAAATCATGTTGAAAAAAAATGTTGGGATACCCTCCATTACTTGTTCTATAGACCTTTTCCTTTTTTCTCACTATGAAAAGATAAAACTTAGAGTTCCACGCATGGAGGAAGTCTCATCTCCCTTTATCTGTTTACCTCCTTGGGCATACTTAGCCTTCGCTTCTAAAAAGGAAGAAAGGTAAAATTTTCACTTCTATTAACTGAAAAAGTTTTAAGCTGCAAGAAAAAGTGACTTTTACAAATGATGATATTATCTTCCCTTATTTGTTTTTTTGGAAGCACTCCTCATCTTTCTACCAGTTTCTTGAATGCAACAGAAGAGAGGCATCCTTCAGCAGGTGTGAAAAGCAAGGAAGGGAAGCTTTAGTCTGAAATGCTGTCCTGATATCAACCTGGAAAGCCACAAAAACTGATAAAAAAATCTAAAAAGTGAAATTTCTTCCAGTCCAGGCAAAATGAAGAGAGGACAATGCATGACCATCCCATGTCCCACACAACACTGCAGACAGGAGTGGCCTCACACCTTGGGATTGCTACCCGCAATGACAGCATCTGTCCTAAATACGTGGCTCCAGCAAGAGGGAGGATGTTAATTATTCAGAAACTACGTGACTCAAAGAGTAACTACAGAGGTGGCTTCTCAATGACGAGACTCCCACTAACAAGTTTGCTGAGAAATTTTAGACTTCATTAAGAGTTATTCCCAAATGGTGCCAGTCTGCTGAGACTCCATCAGGATGCAGTAACCTGCCTGCTGTCAGACATCGGTAGTTAAACCAAGGCACTGGCTGCTGATCCTGCCTTCCTGCCTCTGCAGCTTTCTGCTGCTAGTGCATTTCCTCAGGTTTTGACCTACAACAGTGGTTGCAGAGCAGCTCGCTTTCTTCCTGTCAGCTATGAGCAGAGCAACAAATCAGAGAAAAGAAATCAGAAAATATCCACAGGAGGAACTCTAATAATAAAATATAAGAACAATGCCTTTTCCATAGCATCACAGGCACTGAGTTATCATCGCTGTGTTAGTATATATGTGTTAAATATTCATACAGCCCAGGTGAAAATATATTTGGCTCGACAGCTTGCATACTGCAGTACCTACTTTTAGCAGAAACACTTGCACTGCCAGTCCGCAGCGAGGAGCAGAACAGAGGGTCAGAGCACTTTTAAAGCAGAAATTGCATGGCATTGCTTTGCTCACATGTTTCACTTAACTGTGCATAAAAATTAGTATTGTAGCCAGTAATGCCTTGCTTTCTCCAGGTAAACTCATCCAGCCCCTGGCTGGGAATGTAGAGTATGTTCTGCTGCAGAGAAATGATTTATTTCACCAGTGTAATGCCCAGAGCACAGCTCCCAGGGTTAAGGAGAAACCTCTCTTCAAAAAAGAAGAATATGCTGTGTAAGTGAAATCACAACACATTGGAAGGAGAGGCGAATGAAGAGCATGGACACTGCAGGGAGCAGCAGAGGGGAAAGGGTGAGCACAGCCCCACTGCAGAGCATCTGCTGGTTCAAGGTGGTCTCTGCTTTTGTTTTCCTACCCCTGCAACAGCACAGATGGGAAAAAAAAGCTACCCAGCGTTTGCCCAGAACTGAGACAATACTGAATATACTTGTTTATGCTATTTGTACATAGCATTTTGTTATACTTTTATTCATTTCAGTAGCTGCTGAGCCATTAATCTTATTTCAAACAATTATGTCAATTCAAGTCTTTCAGATTCATACAAACAAACTCAATACATTAAAACAAACTTGAAAATGAGCTACTGTGAATATTCTAGAGGTGGTTTAATACTTCCATCCATGTATGTATGTAGATGCTTATGAATAACCTGCTGCTTTGAAAAGGACCCGCTATGTTATTTCACCACAATTTGCATTGTTATAATAGGTTATTGACTGATTTTAGGTTTAAGGGACTAAGGTGGTATGCAGTAATGACTCTGTGCTACAAGTTTATTGCAAGTGCCCAAGGTTCATTCACCCCAAGCAATTCAGTCAATAACCAATTTTTATACTTCTATCTCCTTCAAAATTCCAAACCAATAATCCCTGCCTTTTTTTTTTTTTTAATTATTTCAGTATCAGACTAACATTTCCCATGGAAATCAATATGGGTGAGATCCATTAGCCAAAAATCTGCAGTGCTGCAATGCAAACATATTAAAAATATTGATCTTTCAAGCTACTGATGTTTTGATTGACTTTAATGTTTGTAAGCAGCAATAACAGAATTTCAATGACTGAAACAAACTTTTGATTAAAATTATAGATTTTTAATTTTTTTTCTATTTTACTGTTTCAAGGGGTATCACATGGTTTACTTGTTTGCTGTAAATGATCATAGTAGTGAATACCTATTCAGTCTCTCATTTGTAAATATTATGGTCCGATGCAGGTTACACATCTTCAAACACACTTCCAATCACTCTTGGTGCTTCAGTTTCACTCCATCAGATACGTAATGCCAGCATGGGCAGGGCCAGATCCTGTCATCTTGAACATTCCTATTACCAGCAGGGACAGAAATGAGATCTCTCTTTTCCTTCCTCTGTAAATGTCCAACACTTCAGCTGATGTTTTCATTGCAGCTGGCTATGGTTTTGCTAAAGCCATATTCTTAATGTAGTTCCTACTTCCAAAATAAACAGATCTTCTACACCCTAGTACTCTCCGTTTTGTGTATGCATGTGGCTTCATGTCCACAAAATATAAATGTCCTGTAATATGGGTTACATTTATGTGACGAAGCAGTGGCATTCTTGCTTCATAACCAAGTACCTGACATAAAATTTATATCTCTATCATTGCCCATGGCTCTTGCGTGGCTGTACACATTAAGAGCGCCTGGCTCAGTGCCTTTCTATGACCAGTTCTGCAATGGTATTTAAGAAGCAATAAGAGCTGCATGCTTTCCCAAAGTAAATAGCCTCAGAGCACACAACTATTCTGTATTACCACTTCTGAGTTATGGCCTGCTGAATTTAGGGCCTCCTCCTTTCTCACTCTCCAGTCCAGCAGACATGTGGCACATCTCACAAAATCCCAAGTTTGCATCTGTTTTACTCAATTCACATAGTACAATGCACATTTCATAACTTTGTTATTTTTGATCTCCTACTTACAGACTTTCATAGAATCATAGCATGACTTTGGCTGCAAGAGATCTCAAAGATCATCTAATTCCAGTCTCTCTACCACAGACAGGATTGCCAACCAGGCACCAAATCATGCTGCCCAATGTGCCATCCAGCTTGGCCTTGAACATTTCCAGGGATGGGGCATCCACAACTTCTCTGGGCAGCCCATCCCAGTACCTCATCATCCATTCAACACTCATGTTTACACAGAGTAAGCATACTAACTTTTCAAGAAGCCATAGTGTTTCAGCACTAAAGAACAGCAAAACACAAACAGAATTCTTTTAATTATTGAAATCTGTAACTTGATGAGATCCCAACGCACCACCCACCTCATCACAACTCTATGATAACCCAGCTCTGGGGCTGCACCTGGCACACAGAGAGACAACCTAAGCTCTACAACATGCTAAGACGACCTGACGAACCCAAAGGACGTCACCTCCCTATTGCAGGCTTTTAAGGAAAGCAGTTCATGTTTGTTATTAGATGCCTCAAGGAGTCAGTGCTTTTGTCAGGATGCGCCCTGAGATCTTGGGAGTTGTGAGGAAACAAAACCACCTTTAAATAAGGAAAGTTTTGGACAAGCAAGCCCTCCTGTTGACAAGGAACAGGAAGATAGAGAAAAATGGACCATGAGCATTATTACTCTAAGCCCTTGATTATCTTTGGACAAAAAACACCACACCAAGTGATAGGCTAAACATATAAGAAAGTTATGCAAGTAACAACAAAATGTGAAGAAATTAAACTGGTGACTGTCAAGGGGACTGATAACACTGCAAATGTGTTCTGCGACTGTGCTGCAAACAATGAGGAATCAATTTACAACCCTCAAAACTGAAATACCTCGTTGTCCAAACTGTTGCAGAACAGGCAGTCTTAGTACAAGCATTTCTGTGTACCCTTGCAATATGTCCACACAAGCTCTGAAAACCATTCCAGACTTGGAGCATATTTCAGGGCTTCCTGTAGATTCAGCTCTAGTGCTTGAAGGTGCTGCTCCTCCCTGTGTTTCTCCTGGCCCTGGGGATGAATGGGCAAGAATAAACACACTCAGCGTGTTAACACAAAACTGCGTCTTTTGCAGCTGAAGAGAAGATCAGGTCTGTGGCACCATCACTGCTGGACAGTCACCTTTCCATACCTATTCATGGCTGAGGATGACAGTTAAGAAAATGGGCAGTACCCCCATTTAAATACATTAATTCTGTGTTTTGTATATAATTTCACCCAAAGACAGAAACAACTCTGGCTTTGGTATCAATGACAAAGAGCTCTGTATCTTAGGACACACTCTCTAAGTTACTTCACGTTACTTCTTAATTTCCTATATTGCTTGGGACAGAGTATGAAATACACAATTTATTTGCATATTCAACTTGTCTATCAAAACAAATAGGCAAATTTAGAATTATTTTGGTAAGACTTCTCTTCAGTTGTAACTGTGTTTATAACAACTGCTAGTGAGTTACTGTTTGAATGAAGCAGTTTGTTATACAATGCAGATCATCCTGATTTTGTAATGTGAGCACGCATGGTGCTGCACATGCCCCCATGGTTCAGGACACTCACAGCAAGCTGGGGTAATGAGAAGATTCTGCAGGCTCAGGAATTGATCATGTAACTGCAGTGTCTCTAAAGAAAGCACAGACCACCATCAATTTACTATAAAATCATTAATGAGAATAGTTGTTTACATTTAATACTTGCAATGTATATTGTGGAAAGCACTTGCTCAGAGCTGGCTTGATAACTTGCTGATTCCCCGATCACCATCTTGATAGGCAAACAGCAGATTCTACATATGGTACCCAATACCATCATTCACAACTCTTAAATTGAATTAAATCTAGAGCAAGGAGGTATAACACACAGAAAAAGCAATGTCTTTAGAATCTGCAAGTACAGATTTGAGATAAGGCTCTAGCAAGCCGTAGCAATTGGTCCATCTAATAAATTAGCTACATCTTTGGCAGACCGACTCCCCTTCCCACCAGATCCTCCAACGCCAACTCTTCCATTTGTCTCTGCCAAATGGATTTTAACCCCCTCTGTGCTCAGTCCCTGTAAAACAAATCTGCTGTCACCACACAGAGGGCGAGGAGGCCTACTTCTGCAGCTTCCTTAGGCAATAAATACACAGAAATAAGAGAGAAAGAGATTGTGAATCACAGAAGCTTAAGGTATACCTGCATGATGACAGCAGAGATATTTCCTCTGCTTCCAGTCAGGGGGTTAACCCCCTGAATCAACCTGATTCTTTACCTTAGTATTAATGAAGTGCATCTAGCTGTCTGCTTTTATTTCACTGCCCCTGGGAAACAGCAGAACTCAAAAGTAACCCAACTGCTGCTGTCCCAATGGTACTGAGAAGTGATGGGAACTCCGGGTGCTCAGAAGTTTCAGGATTGATTCATTAAATCATACAAAGCTCATTAGGAGGAGTTATATTTTGAATTAACAAAGCAACTAAAGACAAACCCTTCAGGGCCACAATGCCTTCTCTTATTTAATCTTAAAAAAAAGGTGATTAAAATGTCACTACATTTACTGAGTATCGTACCAGCCTATAATGCAAAGAATCCATTATAGATTCAGAAGTTCTTAAATAAACTACAGGCTTTCAAATTTTTTTTGCAGTTGGGTTTTTATGGCAAGCCTTGAAGAATGAAATAGGAAAAGAACTTAAAACTGCAGTAAAAGAGGTTATGACACAAATACAATTAAAAAGCACCACTTTTTGGCATGGAAGCATATGCTCTGCCTCCTGCAGCTAAAAGTCACATACTGAGAGTGTATGTTCTGTCAAGAATTACTAGTTTTAGGCATGGCTGGTGATTTTGGACAGTAGCATTTCAGAAACCTTCAATCTGGCAGTTTTATCACTACACATTTATTAAAGCATCCCCACTGTCCAAACTCCCACGAGTTCTGGGACCTGACCTCTGGGAAGGAAAAGAAAAAAATAGATGTTCCTAGGGTACTATTTTGATCAGATCCATAATTCTTTTTTCAGCCAGATTACTATTTCAAACCACTCCCTGGCCCTCAGAAAAAGTTGTAAATGCAAGAGATTTTTTGTGCTCCTCTCTTTCCTGGAAGCAAACTGGAAATGAAGCTGGCTAGAGCCCACACAATTGCTGTTAGAGGTACTAGTGTTCTCAGCAAAGAATTCTTTACGAGCTGTAAGATCAGAAGCAAACTGATCAGCTTATTTTATTAATTTCATTCACCGCAATTCACTTGCCTGAAAATGTTCTGGAATTAGCATGAATAAAATGGGTTTTACTGTGCTGCACAAAGGGTTTATTTATGTATTACATATAACATTGGTTATAAATGCTTTCAAAAAATATAGCTAGCACATTCACAAAGCAATCCAGATATCTGTCTACTGTATGTAAGCACTAAATGAATTTGTAAATGGAGTGTTTATAAATGCTTTGCTAAAGCTTATTAGTTATTCCTAGAATGTAGTTGTTCCCTAAGCAATGTGACATATTTGTTTTATACCCTGTGCGGGGACACTGCAGACATCAAAACCAATGACAAGGGATAGCGTTCTCTTGGTTAACACTTCCTAACAGACCTACTTTTGCTCCTGGATGTCAAACTGGGGAGGACATAATAACTGTCAGTTCTCTGCATCCTATCAAAATCAACAGATAACATTACCCAAAATGTGCACTTCAGAAAACAAAACTCAGAACTTTCACCCAAGGATTGCTTATGCAAATATATTAAAAAAAAAAACACTTTATATACTGCATTACTTCAGCTGCTTTGCCTGAATGAACTGCACAGTCTCCAGTACGTCTTCTGAAAAAAAAGTAGGAAAGTTCCAAAACTATAAAAACAACTCAAAAAATGATGAACTTGAGAACCTCTGTGCTTTTTTTCTGCCTATTTATGCAGTCATTGACAAACAAGCATGAAACAAATGTCTCCAGACCACATGCACCAAGCCCTGGTTCAGAGCAAGATCAGCTGCACCTATGCTGATCTCTCGGACGTATCTATCTATCTGACCTGGATACCTCCAGAACAGAGGCAGCATCCTCCAGCCATATAATTTGAAAGTTTATCTTAAATCCTAATCCAAATTCTTCCTGTTGCAATTCAATTTTATTGCTTTTGCACTATTTACCAAGTACACTGAGAACGGACTGTTCCTTTCTACTTCACATTAGGCTTTCACACACTTGATGATTTCTACCATGCTATTTCTTTCAATCCTTTTTTTAGGCTAAGCTTTCTCAGATCTCTCAATCTTTTCCAGAAAGTCACATTTTCTGGACTTCTACCAGTATTTTTGCTGCTATTTTTGGAGGTTCTCCACCTTCTTCCCCTCCTTCATCAGTGATGTGGTATCCCAGTTGATGTTCGGCAAGCCATTGGCTTATGTAGATATTTCATCAAAAGGTTTGTCTTTTCTGCAGCAACGTGTCACTGTTGACTTATTCTCTGTCAGCTATGAAAATGGTAGTGATTTATTCTCTAGGGGGAAAGGGAAGTATTGCCTAACTTCTGCTACTGTGATCTGCTCTGAAGCCTCTGATAAATTCACCCTTCACAAGCCACACTCCTCTTCTTCAGGGTTCCACTTCTGCTAGATTTGGATCAAAATCTGCTGTGGCTGTGATCCCAGTACTGTGTGACACGCAGTCAGGAGCAGCAGTACTTTCATGTCTCATGGCATTTGACAGGAAGAAAGGCTGTCCCTCAAAGAGGGACTGAAGAGCTGCTGCTGCTGCTTATGTCAAGGCATGAGTAGTGCTGGTGCTGCAGTGCTGCTAGCAGCAGCACTGTCTGTGCTTCTGTGAGTACCCAGTAACAGAACCCAGCCTTTAGTGTTCTTTGTGAGCAATCTAAAAAGTTACCTAAGTCATTAAGATGCAGCCAAACTCTGGTGTCACTGCCATGTGCTCCAGAAGCTAAGCTGTCTACCAAGCCAAAGGCCCCAAAATTGCCTTCTGGCAGAAAAAGACTCCATTTTCTCCATCTCTGTTGCTTTACTGCTATTTGTTGCCATGCACTCATTCACTGGCCAACACAATTAGCCCAACAAAAACAGTCCCCAGATAATAATTCTGGAGCAAAGCAGGTACTCATGTGGCAGAGACTTTGCGTAAAGTCTCCTTAGCTGGAACAAGTTGAGGAAATAGGAAGGACAAGGACAGCTGTTCCTGAATGTGGAGACTGATGCATTTTGCAGACCTGTCTCAGTTGCCATTTCCATGCAGCTCTCACAGCTGGACCAGTAGAGTGAATCTGATCCCACTTCTTTTTAGGGAGGAAAAATATCCCATTGCTGCAGAATAATGACACCCTGTTATGCTACGAAGTTTCTCCCCCTTCAGGAAATGCAACTAGTGCTATAGTGACATACACAACAAGTACTAGAACTTTTTTTTTTTCTTTTCACTATAAATACAATCAAAGAGTCTGGGACGGTTAGAGTAGGATAGAAAAAGATTTATATTGCAGCTATATAGGGAAAATGCATTCCAAACAAAACCTTAGAAAACATTATCAGCATCCTGCAGATGAGCTCACCTTTGTGCCAGCAGAACTGCCTTCATATTTTACCTGCTGGAAATGCAGGGCACAGAAACTGAACAGATATGCACGATAACTTGTAGATCCTGACAGGTCATTGGAACATACAATGAACTCTACAGTTAAAGGCTGAAACTCTAGAATTTGCAAGAAATTCAAAGCAATGACATTAAGCCTCTGTTTTCTATGCATATGCCCTTTCCCAGAGAAAATGATGGAACCTGAGATGAAGAATTAGTCTCTAACATATGCAGAAGCTGATGAGCTATTTCTTGTTCCTGTCTAGATCATGAATGTCCTCTCACCACCATGCTGGCACTGCAGCAGTCAGCTAAGTGGATCTGCTGCTTCTCTTGACACTCAGAATCTAGCAGTCCGCCCAAATTCATCTCAACACACTGTAACCTTGCCAGAGACAAGTATGTGTACAGCAAACACATTTAGCTACTGACTGTAAGAAAAGG